TTTTTTGTAGAACTGGGGGTTGAACTCAGGACCTTATTCTACTGAACTATCTCCCCAGCCCCTGAAAATATTGTTTTAATTAGAATAGGCTGAAAAAAACTTTCAGTGCTTTTTGAAGGAGACAAATTTCAATTTAAAGAAAAAACAAATGTTAAAATGAGTCATATGCTATGAGAAAAGGTTGGGGAATATAAAGATACATATGTCACAGTCAGTCTTTGATCCCTGGGAATCACAAATGTTTTCTTTACAAATGATTATAAATGATGATCACAAATTACAAATGATAAAACTGGGGATCACAAATGTTTTCTTTATTGCTGCATTCTATGCACTTAATAGGAGTATTTAGCAGATGGCAATCCTGGATAAACACAGACCAACTGAACAATTACAACAGAAGGATCAGTGTCCTGACCTCCTTTGTCACCTCTGGGGGAACAAATGCTGGATCACATAGTTCTTGTCCCCATCTGAGACTGCTTCAGCAGTGGCTCTTTTCCACACTGCCTCAGCACTGCCCCAGGGCAGACATATGCCACCTTTATCAGTTGCTGTGGTGTCATCTGTCCTGGGAGGACTGTGCACTGATCTTAGTGTGATTTGCCTCTGCATGAAGTGTGTAAATCACAATCTGCATTTCACTTACCTCCACCAATACGGACAAAACAATCAATCATGTAGTCAGCACTAGGAGGGAGTTTAGACCCCAAAACCTTAGGTCACGGGGATTCTGATCTAAGGTTTCCACGGCAATGTACGTTACCTATTTTTCTTCATAATATGCTCAAAAGGCCTCAGGAAATCTTTCTGGAAACGGAAATTGGCTAATTCACCCTTCTCCAGAAACTTCATGGAGAGCTGTCGTAGTGAGTCAACAGCAAAGATAGCCACGTCTTCATTGGGGTTGCAGCCAACCTGAGCAGAAACAGGAAGGGAGGAGGAACAGGCGCCCTGTTAGCATTTGTGGGTGAGGAGCTCACAGCAGCGGAGATGGACAACCTACTACAAAACACACACTGAGGGCCAGTGAGATGGCTCAGTAGAATAAGCGCTTCCCTGGCAAGCACAAGGGCCTGAGTTCAATCCCCAGTTCCACCAAAAAACAAACAAACAAAAAAGAACACAAAGCGAACACACGCAAGGAGAAAGAAAATGCTGCTTGGCTATGATCTGTCCAATTTTATTTAAGTGTAATGATGAAAAATCAGTGTTGTACATTTAACTAAAAGGGCTTTTGAAATATGCTAGTCTGTTTTAAAAAATTGTACGATACATATAATAGAAAGTTTACCATCTTAAGCTTTGGGAGCAGGGAGTTGCTAAGGTTCAAACCCGGGTATTACTGAGCTATACTCATGTTCCCAAATTGTTTTTTTTTTTTTGGGGGGGGGGGGCAGGGAAATACTGGGGATTGTACCGAGGGCCTCTGCACTTTATTTTTTAGTTTGAGACCAGACCAGGTTCTCAGTCTCTGAATTGCCCAGAACAAGCTCAGACCTGTAATCCTCTTGCCTCAGCCTACCAGAATACTAGAATTACAGGTATACACTATCATGCCTAGCTCATCTTAACTATGTGAAGTGTATAGTTCAACAGTACAGTCACATTACTGAATATACAATCTCTAGAACTCTTTTTAACTTACAAAACAAATTCTGTACCCATTTTACAACTCCCTATGTTATATAATTATACCCAAATATATATGAGGTGTCAAAAGATTTTATGGATTTTTTATGCTTTCTTAATAACTGTTACTTAAAGTAAGTGATTATTAAAGTGAATACCATCAGCCTTGAAAAATTTCTCAGAAATATTGAGGTTTTTCACTATCATTAAAAACTGCCCTTGCTTATACTCTACACCTTTTTTGAAGGGTTGGAGTTCACGAATACGTTTTGTTGGAGGTTTTCAGACTTTTCACTCAAGAAGAATTTCTAGTGAAGGTTTATTTTTTGTTTTTGGTGCCGCAGACCGAACCCAGGGCTTCCAGGTTGCTAGGCAAGCACTCTACCACTAAGTCAAATCCCCGGCTCCTCAAGAAGACTTTCTAAAAGCACAGCAAGGGAATGTTCCTGCCCAGCCTGCTGTAAAGGGATCTGGGACATTTTGCAGCAACCTGCTCTGTAAGAAATTCCACAGACGTGTAGTCTGATTTGAAAAGTTGTCTTTTGTTTTATTTCTGTTTTTTTTAGTCCTGGGGATCAAGGCCAAGGCCTCACCTAGGCAAGAGCTCCACCACCTCAGCCTTTGAAAACATTATTTTAAGCAAAAGAATATTTCCCTCATAAAACTCTGGCCACACAGATGCTTTGGGCATGCTGCTCACTACGCTTACGGTCCAGCTCTGCTCACCCCAGGCCATACAACCTGCTTCCCACTAGCACCCAAGTGGCTGTTTACATACAAGTGACAGCACTACTGAGAGCTGTTATAGCTGCACTCAGCCACCGCTGCTTTAACCCATGAGATCCTTCTGTATCCCAGCTCATGAGGGGACATGGAACATCTTTTTAATGTGGTGGGAAGAAGTAAAGAGTCCCACAGTAAGCAACTGAGTTTTCCACAACTTGGTGTTGAGCAGCACTGACTAGATGGAACAGACATTTGTAACAAAGGTGACAACCATAAAATGTGTAATGATTACCTGCCAGTCTGTGTTCCAAACCTGCCTCTCAGTGGCCCACAGATAACAGAAGCACCCCACAAAGACTGTTGACGACAGAATTTCAGGAGGAAAAAATAACTTGTACAAAATGATGTTCCCTCTGAACATAAAATGGAGACTCTGAAGAGCTGGGAAATGTTTACCGAAACATTTGTGGATAGTCATTTCTGAGAGAATAAAGGATTCTACAGTTGTTAGGCAAAACATCTTGTGAAGTAAATGAGTGATGTTTGTTTCAGCTTAGCTACCAGTCTTCGACAATACAGGGCAGAGTAATGGTAATGCATCACATTTGCTTCTCAAGCAAGCTCATCAATTTCTTTATTTGGTCTATGAAGAATTTATTTTTCCAGAACAGCAGGAAGGCGGTGCTTATATACAGATGGTTACTTCAGATAAAACCCTTATTCTTCACTCAACACGTCATTCCTGTGACTCTCTCACTATGCCTCAGGTGAAAGCCTCCTCTAGAGAGTCCCTCTGTGTCCATGTCATCTAAAGAACTATATGACACTGCTTGACCCTTGTGACCAGTTAAGGTATCGCATAACGTGGATGAATTCCATTCAGGTGGGGCATCATCTATCTGCCTCTCCCCCGCTAAGGCACACAGATATTGTGCTAACAGAGGGATCGCAGAGTTAAGAAGAAAACAACTTCTATTAGCTGCTGTATCAAGATAAAAGGCTACACTTGACAACCCCCACCCCCAGTACTGGGGATTGAGCTAAAGCCTTTGAGCTGAGCTACTACATTCCAAACTCTTTGTAAATTTCTAATTTTGAGATACAGTTTCACTAAATTGTTCAGATTAGACATAAACTTGTGATCTTTTTGCTTTAGTCTGCCACAGTGTTGGGATTACAGCTGTGCATCACACTCAGCTGACAATGCTCATTTCAGTGGGGTGCTGGAGCAGGCCATCACCTGCCTGTGTGAGCTGATGGTGCTAAATTTTTCCCTACCTCAAACTGAGTGACATTACACTGCCTTCTGATGTAGGGAATCAGCCATAGTGCAGTATCAGTACCATACATAAATGATAGGTATCTGCCAGCACCCCGCTGATCATTCTATCTCCCCAGTAGAGGACTTTTTCCAATTATCATCCATTCAATGTAGAGCCAGCACAGGGTCTACAGGGTCACATAGATAAGACTCTTTGTGATCCTCCTGTTTTCGGCCTGCCAAGTGCTGGGATTACAGGTATGTACCACCACACCCAGTCTCAATTGTAGTCTCAGTGCACCCCGGGGACAGGGCCAGCACAACAGGCCGGGGATCGAACCCCAGCTTCTGCGCTCTGCCTAGGCAGGCTAGAGCCATTCTTTTACTAATACTATTTGCAAGCATCTGTGTTGTAACACTTCATCTCTAGAACTGAGAACATTTTCTGAGGCTCATGAAATGTATTTGGCAAGAAAATAATATTGTCAAGCCTGTATTTTCCTTAGGAAGCAAATCACATCACACGTACATCCTCCTGATTGCTTTTCCCCCAGTTTTATTATAGTAAAATGTGTATCTGATTTTTTATTTCTGTATGTATATAATGAAACCTCCAGCAGACAGAAAGTTGTTCAGTCTGGCTTATTCCTAACAGTTCTCAGCTTTAGAAGACAAAGTGTCTTTGGTTTATTTCTGATTTAAAAACAAATGTTAGTGGTGCACACCTGTAATCCCAGCACTCAGGAGGCTGAGGGAAGAGGACTGCCTTGAGTTCAAGGCCAGCTGGGGCTACACAGTGAGTTTATTTAAAAAAATTTTTTTTCACAGTGAGTTTAAACCAGCATGAACTAGATATAGATAGTGAAAACTTGTCACAAAAAGCAAAACAAAGAAAAAAGCCCCAAATGTTAATTTCCAACAAAGCTTTCAGAAGAGTAGTAACGGCAGAACGATGCAGAATATAAATGGTGACATTTAATATCAAAACTCTATAGAGCTTAACTTCATCTTAGATAAAGGAGACATTTTGCGATTGCAGAATGCCTCCAACCAAAGTTTGCCCACTAATTGTACTGATCTTTTTGTTACTAGCCTACATCCTGGATATGGTATATTAAAGTATTTTCAATACCACTTTTTATTCATTCTACATATTCTCTTCAAACTTAAGCATAACATTACTCCTATCCAAGTGTCCTTGATCCTACAGAAAAAATGACTTCATTAGCACCTAAAAAGGCCAAGTCTGTTTTTCATTTTATGAAAAATAAAACAGATTTAATAATAAAATAAGAGAATAACAATAGCTAATATATTGTGTATCATTATCTTCATAGTAGTTACTCAGACATGGATGAAAGAGATTTTATTTTTTCCTGAGACAAGGTCTCATTACATAGTCCAGGCTGGCCTCAAATTCATTATGTAGCCAAGATTGACCTCAAATTCACAACAAGTCTCTTGCCTCAGCCTTCTGAGTGCTAGGATAGGTGTGTGCCAGCATGATCAGAAAGACTCTTACAAAAAAGAAATCAACAGATAATAAAACTTTCTTTTCAACAAACTAAGATAAACTATAAGTATAAACAAAAGGATCAATTCTTTACTGAGTTCAGCTGAATACTTCTTATATTGATGAAGTAGTTTTTGAGCTCAAAAATTTACCTTATTGAAGTGATCTCCAATCACATGCCATATGCGGGACCATTGCAATCGGATCCGATTCATGTTGTAGTATGATATTTCCACGATCTTCTGCAGGCTGAACATGCGAGGATGGTGGGGAGAAGCCAGTTCATCCATGGAAACAGCACACAGCCAGCGGACAAAGTCAACTACAGGCCAGACCCAACAACACACGCGGAGCCTTGTTAGTAATAGGTAGTGACAACATGAGACTTCTGTAGTTGTCACAAGCAGGTCAAATACATACCTATTGCATTTCCATCCAGCCTGGTAGACCCAGTAAAAATCCTAGGAAGACAATTATAGACATAATAAAATAAAAAAATAGATTTGGAGGAAGTGTCTCAAATTGAACAGGCAGAGAAGAAATGCTTCAGGTCAGGCACTTCTACCAAAATAAATGATAAGTTATCAAAAGTATAAAACTGGTCAGTGGGATGACAACAGAACAGTTAGATGGAGAGAAGAAAGGGCCTGGGAGAGAGTTGAAATGTAATAGCATGTGATGTGATGTCAACAGCGACTGGTGGAGGGAGAACCTCTGAAAAGCTGCTCCTCTGTAAGAGCAATGAGAACATTGGCAAAAAATAACCCAAATTAACTTTTTCAAAGTTTAATGTTAGAAATGAACCAAAAGCTAACAAAACCCTAAAGAGTATACTTTTCAAGAAAAATGGCTGAATTTGAAGAGCAAATACTATAGCATTTCAACATGGCCTATTTCCACTAGCCTCTCCTCATCTCCACAGGAAGCCTCTTAAAAACCATGTACCAAAGAGAGGGTACCCTTATAGTATGAGTAACTACTTTGAAGGTGATGATACATAGTATATTAGCTATTGTTATTTTGTCATTATTTTGTTATGAAATTTTGTTGTATTTTTCATAAAATAAAAAACAAAGGCTTACTTGCCAATTAAATCATTTTTCCTGTGGAATCAAAGGCACCTTGATAGATTATTTGGAAATGCCAAAATAATGGTAACTTTGAAGCTGCAGCCAAGCCACCACTAGAGGGGGCAGAACAGCCATGATGTTCTCAACACTGTTCTCAAGGAGCTGACATTACTTGGCCTAATTCCGATCTTAGGGAAATCAGTCTTTCCAGGGAGCTCTTAGCAAAAGCAATCAGCAGTAACTGTTTAGCACTATGGGTGGGGCTGCAGAAGGCAACAAAAACAAGCCCTGTGCTAAAAACTTAAAAGGAAAAGCTGGGATGAGATGTCCAGGCTTTGGAAAGCTCCAACACATTGCTGGGACACTTGACGGCCAGCACATGTGTAGTGTTTTGTGCATAAACCAGGAAGGGTATGAGGAGGTTGGTCTCACTGACATGAGGCTCACACGAACAAGCAAGGGCCAAGGGAGTGCAGCAAAGTGCCGGCTGAGTTTTGGGGTGTGACCACAGAGGCACACAGAACTGACAGACTTGACAAAACATCCAAGGAAATCTCTGATCTCTAAAGCTACCCCACAGACACTTCAGTGGCTACACCTGAGAAAGAATATGCAACGTACACAATTAGTTCAGGGAAGTCACTCAACAAACAAGTAGCAGAGATGAAAACAACAGTAAACTCCAGGCTAGGGGCAGAAAATCTGAGAGCCAGAGCTGCTCTATCATATTCTCCTGGTTTTCAACCAAAATTAAAAATGTACAATGTGTAATCACAATGTATAGTTGATAGTTAAAAATGAACAATTTCATGTCAGTATTCTCAGAGTTATGCAACCATCACCACTATCTAATTTGTAATAATCTGGCATCTAAGAAAGAAAATATCATGGTTTATTTGCAGGAAAAGAACCTGTTGAAAGAGACTGTCCCTGAGGAGGCTCAGATGTTGGATGTTCTAGACAGTTTTTTAAGTTAGTTTCTTTCTTTCTTTCTTTCTTTCTTTCTTTCTTTCTTTCTTTCTTTTCTTTTTCTTTGTCTTTCTGAGACAAGGTTTCACTATTTAGTTCAGGGTGGCCTTGAACTCACTTTGTAGTCCAGGCTGGCCTTGCACTCTCAGTGATCCTCCTGCCTTAGCCTCCTAAATGCTGGGATTACAAGCATATGCAACCATGCCCAGCTAAATTTATTTTCAACATCTTCAAAGAAATAAAGGCAATTATGTCTAACCCTCTAAAGAAAAATTTCACCTTGGTCTATTTCCATTACTCTCTTTCCACTTCCACAAGAAGCCAAACAATCAAATGTCTCACCAAATAGATAATATTAATAAATAGACAGAAACATGATAGAAGCTGAAAATCATAAAACTAAAATAAAAAATTCATCATAGGGGCCAAATTGTAGTTATGAGCTAACAAAAGAAAGCGAGAGAGTAAAGAGAAGTTCAATGATGTTGTCCAATATGATGACTAGAAATAAAAAGTAATTAAAAAATTGGAACAGTGCTCAGCATGGTGGCATACACCTACAAACCCAACTATTTAGCAGGCTAAGACAAGAGTTTTTAGCCCATCCGACACAGCCAGGTAACTTAGTGAGATCTGGTCTCAAGAAATACAAAAGAGCTATGGATGTAAACCTTGTGGCAGAGCACCCTGGGTTTGATCTCTAGAATTGGATTAGTGGAACTAATCCAATTACCTGTCTAGAGACTTGTATGACATCAAATAAATAATGGCTGAAAAGCCACCATATTTGATGAAAAACAATGACTTACATCTGAGAAACTAAACAAATTTCAACTAGGATAAGCCCTAAGAGCCTCAGTATCTCCATGAAGGATGCAAAACCATAGGTCAGCCAACCTCACCAGAGAAGGAAAGTGTTACCTGTCCACAGCAACAACCACGCTCTGGGAGCTGGTCTCACCCACTGACTCCTGGAAGCTGGCCATCTGCCTTTTGTCCACTCCACCACTCACCAGATTACCTGGAACATGATATAGAGAAGCAGTGGACTTTAAAAGCAGCCCAATACTTAGTATTGGGAACAAAGCATCTTTGGTACCAGTAGGAAGATACAAGGCACACAAATGAGAAGGTTCCTTAGAAAAAAGAAACAAATTTCTCTGATAAAATTTAAACTTCTGTTTTGGCTTTTTTTTTTTTCTTTTTTGCAGTACCAGGGATCGAACTCAGGACCTTGCACTTGCCAGGCAGGCGCTTATGCCACTGAGCTATATCCCTGGCCCCCTGTTTTGGCATTTAAAATATATCCTTATCACAAGCTCTCTTGCTCTCACTAACCCATTCTATAGTTTTATTTACATTTTTATAGCATTAAAGACTTCTATTTAGAAAAACACATCAGATCCGGCTGACACTAATCCAGAGCTCCTAGATACACACTGCTCATGTGTGCTGGATGCTCGACTGCTTTCCAGTTCATGCCAGTCACTTTCACAAGCACCTGAAGAAATGGGAGATGCCACGACCCCTCATTTTCCAGGCTTTTAAGCATAGCATGGTGCTATTCGAATCACTGTCATAGGCTCTGACAACCTTCTCCTTGCTTTCAGATAGCCCAGGGCTTGAATCTTGTTATGCGTCCCTGCTCAAGTCACTGCTCCCTGTGCTTCAGTTTTTTAATTACAAATTAGGGAGAAGAATCGTCCCTGTATCAGTGATGGTGAACACATTAGAGCTTTCAATGATACAAATAGCCTTCTAAGATATGCTTGCCATGGATTTGCCACCACTGCCCTACAGCAGTAATGGCGTACCTGTTAGAATGAGGACCCAAACTACAACCAAAAGCCCACTTATTGATTACAAAATGCCAACACTGCAATTAAAGCTGAATGCTGTGGTTTTAGGTCAGAAAAAATAACTCGTACATTAACATTTTTTGTACTAAAAGAAAAACATATAATATGTGTGCCATAGGTTCACCACCACTGCCCTACAAACTGGATTGCTACAAAGGCTAAATGAGTTAAAATGGGGCCGGCCAAATAGCTCAGCAGATTAAAGCGCCTGCAAACAGGCATAGGGGCTGGGGATTCAATCCCCGGGTTTGCCATGCCGGCCCCGCCCTTGGGGTGTGCTGAGATGGCAACTGAGACTGGGTATGGTGGCGCGCTCCTGTAATCCTAGCACTTGGGAGGCTATAAACAGGCAGATCACTACAAGTCAGATCTAGTAGTGAGACCCTGAACACCCTGTAGACTGTTCCCTAAAATATATATATAAAAAAATAGAACATTTAAAAGGGGGCCGGGGAGATGGCTCAGTAGAATAAGCGCTTCACTGTCAAGCGCAAGGGTCTTGAGTACAATCCCCATTTCCGCCAAAAAAAAAAAAAAAAAAAAAGAGTTAAAATGCATTCAGTGGGGCTGGTGAGATGGCTCAGTGGTCTAAAGCACCTACTTAGAACAAGCTTAGCAAAGCATGAGGACGGCGGTTCAATCCCCCAGCACCACATGCCAGCCAGCCCCGCCCCCTGGTGGGCTGAGCTGGACACACACACACACACACACACACACTAAATAAATGTAAAAAAAAAATGCATTGAGTGAGTGCTCAGCAGATGGCCTGCACATTTTCTGTCTCTCCTGGCTACTATTATTCCATATATCACTAACAAGAGTTTTTCAACCCACTGTACAGCCAGAAATTACTGTTTAGTAAAAGCCCCCAATGAAGAGATATAGAATCTATCCTTTAAAATCTGAAGACACAGGACCGTGGCTGTGGAGATAGCTCAGCAGCTTAAGTGCCTGCCTGGCAAATTCAAGGTCCTGAGTTCGATCCTCAGTGACAAAAAAAAAAAAAAAAAAAAGATCTAGAGACACACGAACACACACTACTTGTGCCAGCCATTAGAGTAGTACCATTTTTAAAGCCAATGATTTCCCCTGCTCCAGAAGATTACAGGACGAAGGCATAGTAATGCATTCGGCAGGTTTCTCTAAAACAGTTGTTTTGCTCAACAGTTCAATCACAATTACAAGAGCTAAAGCAGCACAACCACTTGCATTCATAAACACCCTGTCAACTGGCACTTAAGGAAGAGATGATTTACAGGACAGTCCTGAGGGAATAAGAGGCTTTCATCCTAGTGAACTCATGAGATTAGTGACAGCCAGGGATGGTGCTGGGTGTCTTACCAAGGCCCAGGCCCATGAACTCTTCTCCTGCCAGTGTGTGGCCCTTCAGGCTCCCTTCCCTTTCACGGCCAGACCCAGAGAGGTAGCGCGTCTTCACCCCAGTCCCTATCAACTGAGCGAGCTCCAGCTGGCTGATGCATTTCAAGATCTAAGGTAAAGAAGGCATGAAGAAATGAATTCCCATTTTACAGCTGGAATAGGACACTTGCAATCTGAAGTCTGTCCTCTTTGAAAGGAGGAGCTTTCCACAGGAAGAATAAAATCTGATGGCATTAGGATGGCTTCCCTAAGCTAAGAGTACTAATTCAATAATTTTCAGTCTCTTCTCCCCTTGCCTGATTTTAAAAGGACCCCCTTTTTTTGGGGGGGGGCATATGCAGTAATAGCAAGATTTAATTTGGGCAACTTTGATTCTAAAAAAAAAAAAAAGGCAAAGCATGTGAATAAACATTGAAGTGGTCACCTCAATTTGGGACCAAACTGCTTGGATCTTTGTAAAAATCCAGTTTTGTATGTCAAAGAGGAGTTTAGGGCCTTTCTGACCACCTTGTGTTCCCCTTTTCTGCGCAGCCATGTGTCACACAGAGCTGCTCCTGACCACTTTCCAGGCGCCTACTCCTGTATTTTCTGATTTCTCCTGGGCTGGGCTTCCTATTCTCCACCAGCAGCTACAATGTCCCAAACTTTCTAGTCCTGCTGATCCTCAGCAACAGGGGTGGAAACTGGGGGGGCAGTTTCTGGTTGGTTTTCTAAGAGACTTGAATTCTATTATCTTTACAAATATGAGAAAATAACTTTTCAATATTTTTTATTAATCTTTTTATAAAATGAAAGAAACTCCCATGACTGATTAAGGAAGGTGGTCATGGCTGGGTGGTTCTTGGGGTTATGTGGTCTTTTGGTTATTTTTTCTTTATCTTTTTAATCTTACACATTTAAGTTGAAACATTCTGGGAAGCATTCTCTTACAATGGGTCCTTGTGCTCACCTTGTGAAGAGGCTGTCCTTGGCAGGAGAACCACATGGCATCTGTGCATATGTCTATGTGGACTATACCCTCCTCTTCCCCCAACTTTTGCTTTGTGGGTTGTTGTACTTTCCCCTTACTTTGCTACATTTCTATAGTTCAGTTGTCTTACTTGAATGATTCATGTTTAGGGGAAAAAGAAAAACACAAAATTTGTTTCAACTCCTCCTGCAAATAAAAACAATAAATGGGGAAGGGGGAGAAGGATGGCTTCCCTAGAGAAGAGAATGACTGGCTACACAACCAGTCAAGTGTGGATTTTAAAGACTGACTGCTGCTTTCTTTTTATAATCAGTAAAATGAAAGAGCAATAAACAAAAGGAAAGTTGGCACAGTCTGGTGTTATACCATGTAGATACTGATGCAGACTCAGGAAGTGCTCATTTGTAAGACAGAAAAAGTACTCAACTGGATTCTACCCACTGCGCTGCTCAATCTGTGTCCAATCTCCATTTTCCTGTCTACTCTCCCTGTGGACATAACGTGGTGCTCCTTTATCTTGCCACCTCTTGTCCTGTCCCTATCTCTATGCCTGGAAAGCTGCTTCCCTGGCTCACGCTTTCAATTTCTAGATCAGAAAGTTTTCTTGACTTCTGTTCAATGTTTCTAGTGCCAGCCCTTAGTCACATATTTTTCCTTAGCAATTACCACTTTGCGGGCATTATATTATATATGTTTTGATTTGTTCTCTACCTTGGTGTCAAGAGGGCATAAACCCTCTATGATCAACTTTCGGATTCCTAAAATAAAGTTAGACTTCACGTCAAGAAAAATGGAAAGTGATCAAGAAAATACCCTGGATACAAGGCCAGGAGTCATCTCAACTAAAAAAAAAGGCAAACAACCACATACCTCATGCCAGGAGTTCCCAAGATAGTTGCCATCAGTGTGAGCCACAGTAATAAGTGTCTTTATGGTGTCAATGTTTTTCTGCTTCATTTCTGTGATACTGGAGCTGGCTGTCAGCAGGGAGAAGCGAGCAAGAGCCTGAACATAGGCATCTCGTTCCAGCTGAAACAGAAACCCAGGGAGAATACTGAGATTCCACCAGCACTCCACATCCACATCTGCAGGGCTGATACCTTGCGCTCATCTGTGCTTTTGTTTTTGCACAGTATTAGGAAATGAACCTAGGGCCACCGGGCCACTGAGCCCAACTGTTTTTATTATTTGAGACAAGTCTCACTAAGTTGCCCACACTGACCTCAAACTTGCAATCCTCTTGTCTGCAGCTGGGATTATTGGCATGTGCCACTGTGCCTAGCTTATCTGGTATTTTTATATGCACATAGCAGGCTTTCTGCATGCCAGCATGCCACTTATTCTACCCTGAAGTCCTGAGACTGGAACATTGGACGAACCTAACTGCACCACTACACATCTGAGAATCAGATCTGTCCTTCCAACTGACCTCAATCACTCTTACCTGTCCCATGTTTCCATTATGTTGAGTGCCAAGACTGTCATATAAATTTTAATATCTGCAATAATTCTGTTAAGGAAGGCCTACTTTCTCAAGTTTATAAATGAGGAAATAAACAGTGTCTTAAAGGGAAGTTAGCTGAATTAATGTAATATGGTTGAAAAAGCACTGCAGCTGGGTTTGAAACGACAATTATTTGACTTCAAAGTCTGTGGCTCTGGTACAACAAAAAACATCTAACTATAAGGGAAATAAAAACAAGATTGGAGTTTTCAAAATAAGCGGATGCAAATTCTTACTGACTTAGAAAGTAATGCACAGAATGGACAAGAACCTTCTGACTAACAACAGTTTGAAAATCACAATTCATTTACTTGTTGAATTTTTTTAGATTCAAGAACTATTTAGAAATAATGTTAATTTTGGATTCAACTACATGTTTTCCCAGAGAACGTGAAATAGTGAAAATGGATATACTATAAATCAAATAGTTATGTATTTCTTCCCTGGAGGAATGAGGAGATCCTTTGCTGACACTCTTGGCTAACCCATTTTCCACTCTTGGTTTTTAAATTTTGCCAACTCTAAGAGCACACACCCCATCAGGACCTCAGGACTCCTGCCCACGTACACTCACCTGCATTCCAAAGATGCAGGCGATTCGGATGGCACAGCGGATGCCCTCCAAACACAGGGATGCCACTTCAGTGTCGTCACAGTTCTGCAGTCCAATGCTATATGCTGCCAACAGTGGCGTCCACACCAACTACCAAAGAAGTTAGGTTTCAGTAACATCCAGAATTTCAGCATGAAAAGGGCACTCAGAGGACACACTGTGAGTTCGGGGGAAACATCAGGATGCCAAGGACACTGCTATTTTTAATTTATTCTACTCACTAAACACAAATTTATTCTCCAGAATTACAGCTAACGCTATCACAACAAGGAGGGCAGAAGACGAAGGGGACACAAAAAAGAAATAAGCTGTGCTGCATACATGCACCAACTCCTCATGATGAAGGTCATCATCGTACACTACAAAAAAATGTACTAATAAAAGTAGAAATTAAGGGCCAGCCAAATTAAAGTGCCTGCAAGCAGGCCTGGGGGTGAGGCTCAATCCCTGGGCCTGCCGTGCTGGCCCACCCACGCTGAGATGGCAATTGAGACTGGGCATGGTGGCGCAAGCCTATAATCCTAGCTCTTAGGAGGCTGTAAACAGGCGGATCACTACGAGTCTGATCTAGTAGTGAGACCATGAACATCCTATAGACCCTTCCCTAAAATACAACAATAAAAAATTAAAATTAAAAAATCCCCAAAGAATTGGACTTCAGTAGCAATAGATCTGAAAAAGTCCAATAAATGAAGATGTGAAGTGAATAAATTTGAAGTGGTGAAATTTTCAAAGAACAAAAAGCTATCACTACAGATGTGCTACTTAAAGAAGGATGGGCAGCCATGGCTGATGCACCACCCCTCACACACCTGTGCTCATGGCAGACAGCAGTAACCAATCACAGATGAGCCCCTTTCTGCCGAATCTTTATGGGGCTTGAGAATCCTTTTTCACATAGCATACTGTCAGCCATTACCAACCAAAAGTCAACGTGCAAAATAAAGCCTATATGTGACTTATCTACAAACTCAGTTTATTGAAAAGCTAATTCAAATCATCTAGTCTTAACTTTTCTTCCAATTTTCTTATGAAATAATATGTCAGGAGGGGCTGGGGGTTTGGCTCAGTGGTGCAGTACCTGCCGCCTAGCAAGCATGAGGTCCTGGGTTCAATTCCTGTACCTCCTCTCCCCCCAAAAATGTCATGAAAGTCTACAATTGATTACCTACTAGCATACTGACAGCTGCTACAAAGGCATCTTAGAGAAAAATAATGCACTATATGTACGGAGCATGTATTTTTTTGGTTTTTGAGATAGGGTCTCACTATGTAGTTCAGGCTGGCCTTGAACTTCCAGCAGCAATCCTGCCTCAGTCCCAAGTGCTGGGATTACAGACGTGTACCACTGGATGAGACACTGCATCTTTTCTAAACATTATAAAAGACGTTTTAAAAATAGAGTCTTCAGTCACTGTTTTTTCTACCTAATTTCATCTGATAAGGGAACCCTGAGGCCACTGACATGAAATATCCCAACAAATTGTTCTTTTATCTTGTGCCACTCTCACTCTGCAGCCCTTACAGAAACTTTGTATTTGTCATCATTTTACAGATGAGGAACAGAGTGTAAATAACTTGACTAAGGCCACAATGCTACAAAGTGGCACAGCTACCCTGCAAGCCCACACAGACTGGTGCTTCCCAGCACAACCAAAGGAAGTGAGGGCCGGACTCACTCCAGTCACTGAGACAGAAGCACTGAGACCTGGCCCCTTATCAATCTCCGGGGCACTGGGACCTCTCCAGTCCCCTCTGGCCAGCCAACTCCAGAATTAGCACAGCCACATGCTTACTGCACAGGATACTCACTTTGAACATCGGCCGGACATGATCCAAATGAGTGGCACTCGTAAAAGGCGCTTTGGCGTGACTCACAGCTTCCATCAGCGCTTTGGCTGTTTTAGCCATCTGCTCCATCTCTAAATTGTACAGCAGCCGCCGCTGCTTTTCACTAGCCACACCTATAAGGAAGCAAGAGTAAGAACAGCAGCCAGCACTCGGCCAGAGGCAACCACATCCTAGAAACTGCTTCAAAAGGCTTCCAATGATGAACTCACAGAGTATCCCCCAATGATCTCATGAGCCTGTCACAAGTACTACCATAATAAGTGGGGAAAATGAGGCAGAGAGGTTATGTGACTTGCTCAGGGTCACACAGCTAATAAGCAGTGGAGCTGGACTTTACTCAGGGCAGTGTAGCTCTAGAGCCCGAGTTCTAACCCTCTGCATCTCATTGCCTTACAAAGAAAAAACAGGCTTCACAGGGGCCTTAATTAATAGACTTCTAATCAAGGTTGGCACAGTCACCACGGAAATTAAAGTTTTAAGGAACATTTTTTAGGAAAGGTAATTTAGCTCTCAGATGACTTATTTTAATTAGCCTCTTGTTCCTGGTCAAATCTAGCAAGAGTGATATTATGAAAGCACCAACATAATCATAATAATTAAGTTAATTACATTTCATATTCAGATATTGAGAAAGCAAACTAAATTTATCACCAGCATGTCTAATCATGCATTCTAATACAGTCAAAAGTTAGTATTTAAAAAAAGATAATTTGCATTAAACCTTACTCTGCTTAGTAGACTTGGTGGCAATCGTATGTTCTTTTGTTTCTTTCATTGCAATTTTCTTGCCTTCTATCTCTTCATAGATGCTGGAGAGATATTCCTCTGGTAGATCTTTACTATCATTGATTCCCCGATTCATTTTAATATACTGCTCTTTCGTCATTTTATTTTTTACCTAAAATTTTAAAAATAAGAAATCATTTTTAAAATACCCAATTGCCCAAAGAAAGCCACTGACACAACCTACGAATCACTGAAGTATCTTACCTGAGGACTGTGCAAGTCTGTAGTGAGCATAATGATGGAATATGCCAGGACATACGCAGTGTCAGCACTAGCAAACAGAGTTTGCCTGAAACAAAAGATTGCAGACAGGAAAGCAGTCATGGTGAGGAAGGTCTAGAAGGCACATTGGTGGCAGAAATCTACCTGACTAAAAGCAGGTCAACTGCTCCAAGTGATGCCAAATTAGTCAAGAGTTTTTTCTTTTTTTTTTTAATTTTATTGAGAAACAAATATCAATGACAGTTTCAAAGCTGATTAATACGACATTTTCAATAATTAATACATTGTACACTGTTATCTTCTTAGTGGTTATCCATAGTACAAGAAGCAGACAGGATATTCTGTCCAAACACTATTACTACAAATCTTTCTTCTCATTAAATTAAGCGAAAGTAGCTATATATGTATCCTAACTATTCTGTATATACAAATACAAAATGGTCCTTTCTTTGTATCCCCCTTTTTTTGTTTAGTCCTATCAGAGATGGATAGTCTATTGGCATCTAAATATTATAAGTGCTTGAATTCAGCAAAACAATCCAACACAGTCCAGCAGTAAACAATAGTAGTACGTTATACACAGAAGTTGTTGACTTGAGCCTTTCACAGCTCAGCATATTAATATGGCCTTACTTTACCTCGTTTTTATACTTTTCTGCTGGATGGTTAAGACCAAGAAGGATTTTTTTTTTTTTTTTGTGGCCTCAAAATGTCTTCAGGGCACGTCTAGTTTGGTGTGAGTATCTGGGGATTGAACCACAGCATCCTGAGGCTGACTGCTTTGTTTAAGCAGGCACTTAAACAACTGAGCTAACCAGCAGGTCCCCCCCAGACAAGAGTTTTCACGCTTTCTTAGCTGAGCAATAACTTGTAACTCAGGACACAGAAAAGGGTAATTAAGAATGTCAGATTCTAGCTTGACTTTTTATTTATTTGGTCTTTTACGATGCAATTCAGGCTGGCTTTGAACTCCCTTATAGCCTAGACTGATGAACTCATAGTGATCCTCTTACCTCAGCCTTCTGACTGGTAGGATTATAGGTAGGTGCCACCATGCCCAACCAGATTCTAGCTTTTTTGAATCTAGTAGTTTCAAGTTAATTTTAGTTAAAAGATCCTTGAAGAACATCTTAGGTCAAGACTAGGTGAGGCAACTGAACATACAAGTCAGAGACTCTCACTCTTGGCCACACACAGAGCTGTGTGCAGACTCTGAGGTAGAGGCCTCCGCCTACTTGGCTGAGACCCTCATGTGCCTCCAACTGGCCGCATGTGCTCTGTGCCAGGCACTGTGCTAGGTGCAGACAAAGCTGCCTGTGATTGCTGTTTAGTTCTTAGTTGTTAGTGTTGTCCATTGTAATAACCAGCAGAAATACAAGGGAAAATGTTCAGATTGTTCTAAGCAATATTAGTGAAATCTAACTTCCTGATTCTTGCTTTAAGAAGAGAATGACAAAGACATACAGCTGCCCAGCCTCAGCTGGTGAGGCTGAAGCTTAAAAACTGCTCTGTCAAAATGTCCTAACACACTGGAACTCGAAATCGGAACCTGTGTCTGCCAAACAGGCACTTTGCCACACTGAGCCATATCCCCAGCCCAAGAAAAAAATCTAGAGCAATACAATGAACAGTGTACATTCTAATAGGAAGTTTAATTGGGGCACATATTTGCTACTGAAAACAGACCAAGGTCTCTAGGCCAATATAAGGTATGTTTATTTTTTTATGAGCAGAATATATTTATTGAGGGAAAGAAAGCTCCTGAGAGGGGGACCGAGCAGGTGGTCCCCAGGTATATTTCATTTATTTATTTTCTGTATTTAGGATAGGATCTACAGTGTTTACAGGGTCTCACTATGTAGATCGGACTCATAGTGATTCTCCTGTTTTCAGCCTCCCAAGTGCTGGGATTACAGATGCATGCCACTATACCCAGTCTCAATCGTCCTCTCCACAGGCCATGCAGGCAGGGCCAGCAGGGCATGCCAGGAATCAAACACCAGCCACTGCACTCTGCCTAAGCAGGTGCTTTAGTCTGCCGAGCTACCAGGCCGGCCCTACATAAGGTATGTTTAAAAGAACAACATCTAATTAGGTTTTCACAGTGAAGCCCAATGCTCATTCGGTTAAAATGAACAGATGCTGCCTTGCCAACCATACTATCTCTGAGGGACCACTGGCCACACACTCTTAAGTACTAGACCAATTAATACAAAAATGAAACTGAACTTATGAAAATATTTCCGCTGAACAATTTTCAATCCTGCAGGCTAAATATTCAGTCTTATATAGTAATTTCATGTCCAAGTTTCTGTGTCAGGACGTCCATGTTCAGTCCTGCGCTGCTATGCACCAGCTGACTGCGGACATAGGCTGCTCAGGCCTATGTGAACCTGTCTTCTCATATAGAAAGCAGGGAATCGCTCCCCAGCTCATGACTGATGAAAAGGAATGCACATAAAAATTCATGGCATGGCTAACACACAGAAGTCAGCTCAATTTCTATTTTCAACTCTTACAAAAACATATGCCATCCAACTAAAAAGAAAAGAAACAAGATAAAAATTGTGTACTTTGGTGTTTTCATTAAGTTGCTTAGCCATTTCTATAACCTTTCATGAGTAGGTATTCAAAAAGAAGGTGAACTCCTTGAGATCTACTCTGTATATCGAATTAGGGAGCTGTTGCTGATTGGGAAGAGGTACACAAGTGCTTCCTCCCAATTCACACAACTATTCTTGGAGCAGTTAATAGCATGGGTTTAGCTCTGCAATCTTGGGCAAGTTACTTAACCTTTCTGGTGCTCAATCTTTGTCTATGGAATGGAAACATTTGTGTGGTCTTCTGTGAGATAATCCCTTAGTCCAGAGCCTGGTACATAGTGAATACGAGCTATAGCTGTGTGGCATAGATTCAGAAGATTAAATTCAACCATAACCAAATCACAATTAATGGTCTAAAGCAGGCAGCAAGATGGTACAGAGCTCACCCTTGGTTGCACTCTATGTATCTTGCAGCGAACTTCTCCATTAAGCGGTCAATTTTCTGGGCTTCCCCAGGGAGGCGGAAACCTTCCAGGAATGCTCGCAAGGCTGAGACAAATTCCTTCTCACAGAAGTCCAGTTGGTCCACGTAGGCATACATCACCTCCTTGTTGAACCTCGTGCTGTCTCCCAGGAAATCGCCTACTTGGGTCTGAAACACACACTCACTCACATCTAGAAACTGTCCCACATGAACTCGGTGAAAAACACCCCGGGGAGATGTGCATTGGGAGCTCCTGGCTCTACATGCCCACACCAGCTGGGCTGCTAGGAGAGCCAGGCAGAGACCCGAGTTGCTCACCTGCACCCATTCTAGGCTGTCTTGCCAGAGGAGGAAGAAGAGCAGTGCAAGAGGTTCAAAATGGAGGGGTAAAGAGGCATACTCTGGAGGGAGGCTAGTTGCTGGGATAGTCAAGGAAGGGACACTGCCAACTCTGACCAACACTGTGCTATCCCACATGCAGCCCTGATTTATACTTATTAAAGAACGTTTTGCAATACCAGCCAGGAGATACACAGGGCTCTGTATCCAGGGGTCTGAGCTGGACTGTGCTTAGGGTCAGCCAATCCCAAGATCCAAGCTTGTGAGGGCTCAGAATCACCCAACAGAGCTCACGTGCAAGTGCTTACAGAATCGAGGCGCTCCTCCTGGTGCAGGAACTGTGCAATGTCTTCAACTGATGTTCCCAGCATGCCTTGCTCTTGGAGAAACTGGATCCCCCGCTTGGGTTTCTTATTGAAGCTGTTTCAAGAAGAGATGACATACAGGATGCTTATTTCAAAATCTGGAGCATAGAAAAAGCTGGTATTTGAGGCAAGCCACAAACAGTGCCTAAACTATCACCTGTAAGCTAGCAAGGTCCTTGTAGCTTTTCCAGCTCAATTTCTGACCCACACATGGCAGACCCTGATGGTTGTTACTTTTTTATACTCTCCCCTTCTACAATGACAGAAGCCTAAGTGTTCAGTTGGATGGACACCATCAACTAGAATAAAAGCATTTCCCTGATTCCCTTAAATAACATACAGCTCACATCTCAAGCCAGTGAGATGTGAGCAAAAGTGGTAAGGACATTTCCAGGAGGTATCCTTAAACAAAACTGACTCAGAGAAGAGGTACACTCTTTTTTCCCTTCCCTCTTTTTCTAGAATACATGTGTGATCACTACAGTTCCAACAGTCATCTTAAATCAATAGGCAACCCTGAAGATGGAAATTACATCGTTGGGTAATGAAGCAAACAGATAAAAGGAGGCTGGGACATCAGAGATGTCCGTACAGTTCACCCTAACAGGCTCAGTGTGTCTATTTTTAGATCTCTTTTACTTCAGAAATACAGTGAGTACTGTTATCTCATATGTCCTGTTAAAGGAAGGCATGCTAATTAACATATATAGTATACTCAATTTTTTAATAGGCCCTGCACTGGACAGTGATAGTCACATAGACACAAACCAGCAAGGGCCATGAAAGACACAGAGACGAGCAGAGAGATTAACTTTAGACTTTAGATAGTGTAGTACAGAAGACCTCTCTGAAGAAGTGATGATTTATCAAGTCTGAGGGATGAAAAAAAAGCCAACATTATTTCAAGGAGACAGCATCATGATGAAGATTTGGAGGTGTTCTGGGGATTAAAAATGGGTGGTATGGAGGTATTGGCAGGAGATGAGGTTGGCGAGGGAGGCCAGAGGCCAGCTCTGACCGTGGTAAAGAGAGGGATAAGGAAAAAAAAAAAAGAGAGGGATAAGGCTTATGTTTTGTTTTTCTGTTCAATTCTTTTAAGAGATATAGATTAAGTAAAAATACCAGTATTAATATGTGTGTATACACATGGTACACATATATAGAGTGCCTTAGCTGCTGTGGAGAGAAAACTGGCGAGCTGCAGGTGGTGAGAGTAGAAACAAGAGCAACACTGCATCTAATAAATGAATACTGTAACTTCACCTCTTGAGATGAATTTATTAACTCAAGAGATGAAGTTACAGTATTCATTTATTTACATGAATTTATTAATCATGTAAAGCTAGACATGTTAGGAAATCATGTGTATGCACTGAAGTAAGAGACTGGAAAGAAACAAAAATCACCACTGATTATGACATGATGCTACAGTTACATGGGGAAATCCCTTTATGTTTTACAGATGTAGGCTAAAGTACTGCTACAAATTACAAACTGTTGGGCTGGGGAGATAACTCAGTGGTACGGTGTCGGCCTGGCAAGTGCAAGGTACTGAATTTGATTCCCAGTAACAAAAAAACCAATCAAACAAACAAAAAACCCACAAATGAATATGGTAAATTTTTAAGTTAAATTAAATATTAATTTTTCTGCATGTTGAAATTTTTCATAATATATAGATAGGAAAAATATCATCAACTGCAATTTCTTCAAGGTAGTAATTTTATAAGTGATCTTCACACTTGCTTTTTAATTTTTTAGTATTTCCTAAATTGGCCTAATTTCTGTCATCAGAAAGAGAAAAAAAAAAAGGATCTATAAATCACACAAAGATATTACGGTTTTCTTTTTCTCACATGTATACTCATACACATCCTCTCTGCCTGGTTCAACTGTATCAGTTATAAATGCTGGGATCAGCCTCTCATGACGCTGTCCCCTGTAGAAGTCAGTCTCAGCTCCCAGAGACGATGTGGCTCTGTAAGACTCCACAAGATTCCACTAGAAGCCACACTCACAGCTCAATGCCATGTTCGATGATTTCCTTTTGTTGTTTGATGACCTCAAATTGCTCTGGATCATCCTGAATGGCTGTCTGGGTCCCCGAGGACACTGTTGACTCCATGGACGTCACACTGCTCCGTCGTGCCATGTCAAGCCCTTTCCCATCTCCCATTTCCTGATCCATGAGCCTCTCCTGACCTGCAGTGACATAAAAACAATGGGAACTAAATAAGCAGATGGACACAGTCTCAGCCATGTGAGCTCTGACCTTATGCTTCCCTTTCTCAGACCTTCAAAGACAACAAGTTTGTGCTATAACAATCATAAGCATGAAACTTCAGCAGCATTTAGAAACTTATTTTTCCATGGAACTTGATCTAATTCTAAAAATCACGTGAAAGAGTGAAAAAGTACAAAAACAGTCAAGGCACTTAAGGACTAGATATCCAAACAACACTAATAATTTGATGTGTGCGGTATCTGTACAAGGACAAATGGAACAGAACAAAATGGAAAAATCCAGCAACAGACTCTTTTGCAAAGGAGAATTTAGCATATCACAAGGCTGATGCTTCAATCAGTGAGGGAGGGAGAGGTTACTAAAATTGTTCTAACCATTGCGTCATGCTATTCTCCCCAACATTCCAGGTGTATTAACGAGCGGAACTATTAAATACTATGGTATTTGCTGGGTGTGATAGCACACACCTGTAATCCCAGCGCTTGGGAAGCCAGGGCAGGAGGATCAGCCTACCCTGTCTCAGGAAAGAAAAAACAACCAACCAAAAAGACGTGGTATTTAAAAATACACTGAAATATTTTGCTCAATTGCAAGACAACTTTCCCTGACTGGTGAGTAGCCCACTCTGAGTAGCGGTGGGGTGACAGCAGCGTCCTCTCACCAAGGCTGGTCTGGTGGTTAGGATTCACATACAGGTCCTTGCTCCATTCCACCATGCACTTGAGAATGGACACGAGGCACTCCAAGCCTTTCTTCCTCAGACTTAGCTCCTAAAGGACAAAAATGACATAGCATGACTTCACAGATGAATTAAGAATGGGCAGATATGGGACATTTAGGGAACCCTGCAAGGATATCAAATAACTCCTGAGAGATATGGGAGAGATATTTTCCTAAAATCAACAATGTCATGCAGTTTTTTTCCACAAAATTTTCATTCAAACAAAACGAAACAAAATCCCTGAAACTGTGACCTTGAATGTGATAAGTGATTCTAGGAAAAAATTATCCCTTAAACATCAACATATGCAATCTGTTTTGAGGTTCACCTTATTGCTTTTATAAATAATAACTTTTTAAAAAATAAAAAATGAGTACAAGTGGCAGATAATCTTATAATAAAAGGGAAATATCTTAGAGGTAAACCTTTTGGGGAGCATAGATCTTTCTGTGAATCTAATGACAATGACAACTATGAACTTCTTCTAGGAAAAAGACTTGTACACCAAAACTCTATACATAATTCCAGTAGTCTTGCAGAGCATCTACCCTCTTCACTCAGAAACTTTCAGATCCTCCTGTCCTTGCAGGCACTGTGACAAGAAGGCAGACTATTGATGTGGAATCTCTTCTGCCTACCCTGGAGTCCAGGGTCCTGCTTCCCACTTTGGAAGGTGATTGAAAATCAATTCACTTTCTATGCACCTCTGTTACAATGTCACCTTCTCAGGGACACTATGATAACCCCATTAAGGACTATAACACTCACACCTCCAGCTGTCTGTCACCCTGCTTCCTTCTTTCCTGCAGCACTCATCGTCAGCATCCAACCAGCTTACTTCTTCATCGTCATTTCATCACGGCAGGAGCTGTGTGCTTAGCTGTGCATTATTTGTGCTTTGCTCACTGCTGCATGCCCAACACTGAGGACAATGCCGGCCATGTGAGTGGAACTCAATAAGTGAATGAGCTTCAAATACAGTTTCATTTTTACCTGAAGAGGTGTCATTCCCAGCTCATGTCCACTTCTTCCCTGAGCGATTTTGGATAAATCATTTACTAGGCGCTCGAAAATGTTAGCAGCATTTAAATCACAGTCATAATTGACATAAATATCCACAACGCACTGGGCATCTGGGAAAATAACATACATACGTGAGAAATTCAGATAAAAGACAAATAGCAGTTTTCTTAGTAAACGAGTTTTCTCCACCAAAACATGTCCCATTTAACTTTTAATTCAGGTGACCATGCCTTACTAAGGAAACATGAATGCAAGTCACAGGTATTGGGGTGTGTGTGTGTGTGTATGTGTGTGTGTGTGCGCGCATGCTGTTTTAGGCTTGCCTCTACACTAACAAAATCTCAGGCAGTGCATTCTGCCTCTTCAAGGTTCAATTTCCTCATCAAAAATGGAGTAATAGGACTAGCGATGTTGCTTGATGGTAGAGTGCTTGCTTAGCATGCTCAGGGACCTAGGGCTAATCCCAGTATCACAAACAAACGGGAGTGAGGAAGCACTAATTCACCTCCTAAAACTGTGCCACACTTATGTTGTCTGACAACAGACAAATGGGATGTTTAGTCTGAAGTCACATAATTATATGGTGTAAAGTCAAGTCCATTTTATCTCACCACCCAATCAAGGACTGGCAGCACCTGTTATCTTAGATCCTGTGATTAACCAGCTTCCAGATGGGTGACCAAGTGCCCTAGTTCGCCAGGATTAAGGGGTTTCTGGGTCATGGGGCTTGTAGTGCTCTAACACTACAAACCCGCAGGCAAACTAGTGTCTGCGTGCATCCTCTAAATGAGGAGAGGTAAGGTAGGACTTACCTAGGAGAAGTAAGCCTGTTGGCATATGTGCTCCTGAAATGAGCACCACAATAAGCCTTTTCCAGACAACACTTCATTAACACTCTACAAGGGTTTTTGTCTGGCTTTGGGAGATGAAATGTGGGAAGTATTTTGGAGTTAGCCCAACAGATGAGCACCCTCTGTTGAACATACCTGCACAGATCCTGGTCAGCGTCTGAATGACCATCCACCTGTGCTCAAAAGAACTTGTGGATGTTTCTAAAATGTTCAGGAAAATCTCTTTGAAAAACACCTATGTGACATAAAGACAAAGAAGGTCATCAATTAGTTTCAGTTAGAGGCTGAGCAGACCCTACAGTAGGGAGGCTGTCTGAGTGGAAGAAAAGAGTGATGCACACTCACTGCTGAAGCGCACTGGCTGGTGGGGACAGTTAGCAAAGCTGCCAGGCACCGGCTGCAGGACTCATGTGTCACGATTTCTGGGTGAGAAACCAGAAATCTGGATTTTCATATAAAATACAATTCCATCTCCATAATTCAAAGTATTTCAAACAATGTATGGACCAGACAGAAATGTTTGGAGGTTGAGTTCAGCATGTAGAACATGCACTCTAAGCCCTTGGTCAAAATGCAAGGCATATGAGACACAAAGACAGAACATTAACAAGATTGTACTTCTTCACTCATATAGATTCCTTTCCGGGGTGCCTCTCTGGGCCATGTGACTGCAGCTCTGGTGACTATACCATCTAGGGTTTCTAATTTGGTAGGAACATCACCAAATAAAAACAAAACAAAAAACTCAGGAGTCCATACCTCTATCTGCATTTTCAAGTGCATTTTAAAGTTTGAAAGAAGAGTAAGGAAAATAGCAAGAGAGAGCTCAAAGACATCAGGCACTGAAGAGACGCCGTTTTTGGACAAGGCCACACAGAGATATTGCTTGATTGCATTGATGAACATCTCATGAGTCCTGAAGACTGGGCCAGCATTCTGCAACACGGACAGAAGCAACTGCAGGGAGACCACCTTGGAACGCAGCTCGTGGGATCTGGCAAGGAAATGGAAAAGGACACTGCTAGAAGAGAAAATGTACAATAGCATGTTTCTTTTCTCTTTTTTTGTACTGGGGATTGAACTCAGGGCAAAGCCTTTATTCTGAGTGATGTGTGCAGCCTTTATTTCTTATTTTGAGATGGGAGTCTTCCTTAGTCACTAAACTGCTAGGCCGGGCTCAAATATGTGATCCTCTTGTCTCAGCCTCCCAGCATGCAGGGATTACAGGCATGCATGGCTACACTAACAGTGTTTCTTGAGAAGGTCTTGCTCCTCTACTGTGAGCAGATTCTTTGAGGCCCCCAAGTTAACATTCTGCAATGGAACCTAAATGCTGGGAGAATGAGGGAGACCTACAGAGAGTAAGCCACGTCCTACACTCTCACCTCTTCCCACACAAATAACGCAGAAGAGGCTGGGTGTGGTGGCACATGTCTGTCATCCCACCACTCGGAGGCTGATGTAGGAGGATCACCATGAGTTTAAGACCAGCCTACACAGTGAGTTCAAGACCAGGCTGAACTACATAGTGAGACCTTTTCTTAAACAAAGAAACAAATACAAGAATACAGAGGGCAAAGCAAGTATCCAGTGAGTGTGAAGAGCCAGCTATGAGGCTGAATTGATGTAGACAATCACTTAACAACATGTGTTTGAAGTAAAGATTTCTGTCCTACTCTCTATCACCACAAAGATGGTATTTTTTATCCACCAGCCTCACACTCTCCACCTAAGTTCAACGGTGGCAAGAAATGGAACATCTTCACAATACTGGTGTCTCAACAGAAAAGTTGAAGGTTATTGTGACTAATAATAGTGGCTGTTTATTAGTGGTTATTGTGACTAATTATAGCAGCATAGCCCTGAGCTGAGGACAACACTTGTCTCATTTCATTTAATCAATCGGGTGAATTTCCATGCTTCCATTTTTCTTTTTCTTTTTTTTTAATGTTTCCATTTTTTAGCTGAGGTTCAATCACTGGTACAGCCATGGAGCTGCTCTCAAGAAGCAAAGATCTGAACACAGCTTTGTCCTGGATCCAAAGCCTGTTTCCATAGTCCTGAGCCCTTGGGCTGACTGTTCACTAGAAAGACACGTTTGCCCTCCCTGGCATAAATCTTAATTTGTAAAGCTGAGGTTTCCAAAAGCAGGGCTGGGAATTGAGATTGCAGGCATCCAGTCCTTTTATATGCTCCATTAGGAGAGTAAATACATTAATTAGACAAAAAGGGTTACAAGTTCGATATACTGATTTCTTTTAACATATAAACCGAGAAAAATGAAACTAGTTAGTGGATATAGACAATTTAATATTAAAGGACAGTGAAGAATGCACAAGTCTGGGAAGATGTAAAACCATCCTATGTCAACATGGGGTTCTAGCACTGCAACTTGTGGGAACTAGTGGAAGATAAACACAGAATTCTGTGCTCCCGTGTTACTAGGTTGTCCTTACTTTGGATCTGGGGGGCCTTCCCCAAGGGGCTTCATAGACAGCTTGCACAGGGAGCGGAATACCAGGAAGGCATCCTTCTGTAGAATGTGGGAGAATCTAGCAGCCACTTGATGTCCTTGTGCATCCGATTCCTATGATTAGAAACAAAAGAAACACCAAAAGGGCAAAACAGAAGGATAACTCTTTTCAAAAATAAAAAAATGTAATTATCTCACATAAATTTAAATTCTTGTATTTATTCAAGAGGAGTAGAAAGAATGTAGGGAAGGAGAGAAAGCACTGCTACTGGGGAGTCACTAAAGCAATTCTAAACCTTGTTGCTTGTTCTTCAAAAGGTGATATGGGTGATTTAAAACAACAGATGATCATAAGTTAAATAATAAAAAGGGAAATGATAATTGTATTAACTTGTGTCATAAATGTATTTCTAAGAATAAAAGGAGAGAAAAATGATAGGCATTTTTAAATAAATTTCTTTATGTAAAAAAGTAAACTGCATTAAAGTAAGTAAATATTTATAAAGTATAATAAAGATTAATAGCTTTTACATATACGAACTTCTCAGAATTCATTAAGGAAATATGAAACCCTCCTCCCAAATGAAAAAACAGGCAGAACACACCAAGAAACATAAAGAACAAATAACCCTAAACAACCCTATGTCTCTTCATTATAGTAAAGCTTTCTCTCACCAGATTAACAAGGATGAAGAATTAAGAATTAATCCTGCTAATGAAAGACTAAGAAAATGGCACTGATAACCTAAAGGTGGGCAGGGATTTGAACAATACTTTCCCAGAAGATCAATTTGGTGGTTATGATCAAAAGTATTAAAGTTTCCAACTCTTTTATTGGGGGAAGGTAGTAAGGGTCTTGGGCACTGTGCATGCTACTTGAGTATTCCACCTCTGAACTATATCCCATCCCCAAGGTTTCCAACTCTTGATTTCTAGTGATTACCACTAACAGAAATCTATCCCTAAAAAAGAATTAAAGGATCTAGGGATATAGCTCAGTGGCAGGCTTGAGGTCAGAAGTTCAATTCCTGAGACCAAAAAAAAAAAGGTGTACAAGATTTACCTAAGAGGTTTGTTTTAAACTATCCTATGGTAAAACAAATAATCTAAAATCTAATAAGGAATTGGCTAAATAGGTAATCATAATACAGAATTTCATGTGATCATTAAAAAATTTAGTTAGATCCCTGGCTTCTCAGCCTCTCAGGAGAAAAATGTTAGACCTTCTGCTTGTACCGATACAGAAAGAACCCATGATATAGTTTTACATGAACAAAGCAAGTCACAGCCTAGTATATTAGACAAGAGTGCCTTGTACAGATTTAAGTATACCCCTTAAGTACATTTCCAGGGATGATAAAACCACAAGAGGACACAAATAGGTTCTCTAAAGGTGAAAAAATCTTATGCACAGATGCAGGTACAGTATACAGGCATTCAGTTTATTAGCTACATTAGTACACTGAAACTTCATGGAAGGAGTAAGGTTTAGGAGAAAAAAAGGTCTAAATGATTTCTGGGGGTGAGAAGCACACGATAATGAAAACAGCTGAAAAACACTGGTTGAGGATGTACAAATTGGGATCAGGTTATGTTATTTCCTGTTTTGACTACTTATATATACAATTTTCAAAGGAATAATAAAGCTATTTAAAAAAAATAATGTAGTGGACCCGTCTATGAGCCTAAAAGGATGCTAATAATATACATTAAGTTTGTTTTATTTGATTTTGTTTTTTCAGTGCTGGGGGACTGAACTCAGAGGCTTTCACACTGAGTTAAACCCCTAGTCTTTTTTTATTTTGAAACAAAGTCTCAGTAAATCATTAAATTGCTCAGCTGGGTTTGAACTTACAATCTTCCTGCCTCAGCCTCCCCAAGTGCTAGGAGTATAGGTTTGTACCACCATGGCTAGTTTATGTTAAGTTTTTAGTAGGGTATAGGCTGGGGGAATAACTCATGATAGAGCACATGCTGAACACAGTGATGCCTAGATTTGATCCTCAACACCAAAAAAAAGAAGCAGGTTACAACATAGCATGTATATCATGTGATAATATTTAGGCAGGAAACAATATGAAGAAAAAGATAAGTCTAGAAAGATATAATTTCCCTATAATACTGACTTTTCAGTATAGAGAA